CCTCCCTAGTAGCTAGGATTGACTACAGGCGTGAGCCACCATGCCTGGCTAATTTTTAATTTTTTTTTTTAATTTTTTTTTTTTTTGTTTAATAGAGAGGGGTGTCTCACAATGTTGCCCAGCCTGGTCTTAAACTCCTGGGCTCAAGTGATCCTCCCACTTTGGCCTCCCAAAGAGCTGGGATTACAGGTATGAGCCACTGTACCTAGCTCCCACTCACCTTGCAATCTCAGCTTGGAGGGCCCCTCCTCCAGGAAGCCTTCTATGACTGCCTACCCTATTCACTTCAACCTCTGGCTGGTGCAAGGGCGCTAGTGGGCCCCCAGCAATGCCCTGAGCTTTCCCCATTCGGGCACTGGGTGCTGTGAGTGCCTGGTGGCATCCTTCTCACTGCATGTAGTCAGCATTTAATAACTCACATGTACACACCCACCACACCCGATGCTGTCTGGGCTCCTCCCCAGCGTCCCACGGCCCCTAGCCCGAGTTTACATTCCCCCTCCCGGCTGCCTAGTGTGGGGTGGCAAGGAGCCTGGCAGCCGGCCAGGTGTAAACATTTACACCGAGCGCTGAAAGCCGGGTTGGATGTGGGTCAGCGCCTCCGGGCCTGGGCTCGGCTCGTGATCCCCAGGTGCCCCCCCCGCCGTGCATGCACCTTGTACCTCCAGCTTTGCGCGCTGCCCTGCACCGCGCATAGATTTGTTTGCGTGGGATTCACATTTCATTTGCATGGACTGCGCCCCGTGTCCTGATGCGCAGAAACTCGAACCACCCCTTCTCTACACTGCTCACCCCCATGGATGGGGACCACAGGAGCTCCACACACCAGATCTTAAGTAACAAGATACATTTATTAAGCACCAGCTGTGTAACAGGCCCGGTGCTGAGCCCACGAGAGAGGCATTACTATCTCCATTTTACAGCTAGGCAAACCGAGGCACAAAATGGGTAGGGGCTTGTCCAAGGGCTAGAAAAGGACATGGGATTCGAACGCAGGTTCTTTGACACAGCACACACCATATGGGCTGGGCTTGGGAGCAGATGCTGTAGTCACCCCGAGAACTTGCCTCACCACTATTGCTGGTGCTTGAGACTCTTTGGTATTGGTGGTGGTTATTCTTAGTAAGGAATGAGCTCCCCAACATGAGGGCGTCTAAACAAATCCTAGACCAGCCTGGGGATCTATCTGATGAGAGTGAATTTGCAGGGGAAGTTGATTCTCCCCCAGGGCCAGCCCAGCTGGGTCAGTGGCACAGAATAGGCGCTCATAGACATTTGCTGAATGATTAATTAATTAATTAACACAAAGAAGCTAGGCTGGCCGGGTAAGGTGGCTCATGCCTGTAGTAATCCCAGCACTTTGGGAGGCTAAGGAGGGCGGATCACCTGAGGTCAGGTGTTCAAGACCAGCCTGGCCAATATGGTGAAACCCCAGCTCTACTACAAATACAAAAATTAGCTGGGTGAGGTGGCATGCACCTGTAATCCCAGCTACTTGGGAGGCTGAGACAGAAGAATCACTTGAAACCGGGAAGCAGAGGTTGCAGTGAGCTGAGATTACACCACTGCACTCTAGCCTGGGTGACAATGTGAAACACCGTCTCAAAAAAA